TCAAATAAACAATCTAACCTTACACCTGAAGCAACTAGAAAAAGAAGAACAAAGAAAACCCAAAGTTAACAGAAGGAAAGAAATCATAAAGATCAGATCAGAAATAAGTGAAAAAGAAATGAAGGAAACAACAGCAAAGATCAATCAAAACTAAAAGCTGGTTCTCTGTGAAGATAAACAAAATTGATCAACCTTTAGCCAGATTCATCAAGAAAAAAAGGAAGAGGACTCAAATTAGTAAAATTAGAAATTAAAAAGGAGAGATTACAACTGACACCGCAGAAATACAAAGGATCGTAAGAGACCACTATAAGCAACTATATGCAAATAAATTGGAAAACCTGGAAGAAATGGAAGAATTCTTAGAAGAGTACAACCTTCCAAGATTGCACCAGGAAGAATTAGAAAATATAGGCAGAGCAATTACAGGTAATGAAGTGGAAACTGTAATTTAAAATCTTCCTACAAACAAAAGTCCAGGACCAGATGGCTTCACAGGCAAATTCTATCAAACATTTACAGAAGAGTTAACACCTGTCCTTCTCAAACTCTTCCAAAAAACTGTGGAGGGAGGAATACTCCCAAACTTGCTCTGCGACGCCACCATCACCCTGATACCAAAACCAGACAAAGACATCACAAAAAAAGGAAATTATGGACCAATATCACTGATGAACACAGATGCACAAATCCTCAACAAAATACTAGTAAACGGAATCCAAAAACACATTAAAAGGACCATACACAATGATCAAGTGGGATTTATCCCAGGGATGCAAGGATTCTTCAGTATACGCAAAACAATCAATGTGATATACCATATAAACAAACTGAAGAATAAAATCCATACGATTATCTCAATAGATGCTGAAAAAGCTTTTGACAAAATCCAACACCCATTTATGATAAAAACTCTCCAGAAAGTGGGCATAAGGGAATCTACCTCAACATAATAAAAGCCATATACGACAAACTCACAGCAAACATCATTCTCAATGGCGAAACAATGAAGGAAGTTCCTCTAAGATCAGTAACAAGACAAGGATGTCCACTCTCACGACTCTTATTCAACACAGTGTTGGAAGTCCTAGCTGCAGCAATCAGAGAAGAAAAAGAAATAAAAGGAATACAGATTGGAAAATAAGAAGTAAAACTGTCACTGCTTGCAGATGACATGATACTATACATAGAAAATCCTAAAGATGCTACCAGAAAACTACTAGAGCTAATCAATGAATTTGGCCAAGGTTGCAGGATACAAAATCAATGCACAGAAATCTGTTGCATTCCTATACACTAACAATGAAAGATCAGAAAGAGAGATTAAGGAAACAATCCCATTTACCATCACAACAAAAAGAATAAAATACCTAGGAGTAAACGTACCTAAGGAGGCAAAAGACCTGTACTCAGAAAACTATAAGATACTGATGAAACAAATCAAAGATGATACAAACAGGTGGAAAGATATACCATGTTCTTGGATTGGAAGAATCACTATTGTGAAAATGACTATACAAACCACAGCAATCTACAGATTCAGTGCAATCCCTATCAAATTACCAATGGCATTTTTCACAGAACTAGAACAAAAAATTTCACAATTTGTATGGAAACACAAAAGACCCCGAATAACCAAAGCAATCTTGAGAAAGAAAAACGGAGCTGGAGGAATCAGGCTCCCTGATTCCAGATTATACTACAAACCTACAGTAATCAACACAGTACGGTACTGGCACAAACACAGAAATATAGATCAACGGAACAGGATAGAAAGCCCAGAGGTAAACCCACACACATATGGTCACCTTATATTTGATAAAGGAGGCAAGAATATACAATGGAGAAAAGACAGCCTCTTCAACAAGTGGTGCTGGGAAAACAGGACAGCTACATGTAAAAGAATGAAATTAGAACACTCCCTAACACCATACACAAAAATAAACTCCAAATGGATTAAAGACTTAAATGTAAGGCCAGACACTATCAAACTCTTAGAGGAAAACATAGGCAGAACACTCTATGACATAAATCACAGCAAGATCCTTTGTGACCCACCTCCTAGAGTAAGGGAAATAAAAACAAAAATAAACAAATGGGACCTAATGAAACTTAAAAGCTTTTGCACAGCAAAGGAAACCATAAACAAGACCAAAAGACAACCCTCAGAATGGGAGAAAATATTTGCAAATGAAGCAACTAACAAAGGATTAATCTCCAAATTATACAAGCAACTCATGCAGCTCAACATCACAAAAACAAACAATGCAATCCAAAAATGGGTGGAAGACATAAATAGACATTTCTCCAAAGAAGACATACAGATGGCCAACAAATACATGAAAAGATGCTCAACATCACTAATCATGAGAGAAATGCAAATCAAAACCACAACGAGGTATCATCTCACACTGGTCAGAATGGCCATCATCAAAAAATCTACAAACAATAAATGCTGAAGAGGGTGTGGAGAAAAGGGAACCCTCTTGCACTGTTGGTGGGAGTGTAAATTGATACAGCCACTATGGAGAACAGTAGGGAGGTTCTTTAAAAAACTACAACTAGAACTACCATATGACCCAGCAATCCCACTACTGGGCCTATACCCTGAGAAAACCATAATTCAAAAAGAGTCACATACCACAATGTTCATGGCAGCACTATTTACCATAGCCAGGACACTGAAGCAACCTAATTGTCCACCAACAGATGAATGGATAAAGAAGATGTGGTACATATATACAATGGAATATTACTCAGCCATAAAAGAAACGAAATTGAGTTATTTGTAGAGACATGGATGGATCTAGAGTCTGTCATACAGAGTGAAGTAAGTCAGAAAGAGAAGAACAAATACTGTATCCTAATGCACATATATGCGATTTAAAAAAGCGGTACTGATGAATAAAAAAGTGGCAGGGCAGGAATAAAGACGCAGACGTAGAAAGCAGACTTGAGAGCATGGGGCAGTGGAAGGGGAAGCTGGGATGAAGTGAGAGAGCAGCATTGACATATTATGGGGAAGGATGCACACCTCTGTGACTGTATTAAAAGTTATTAAAATGTACACTCTTACATGGCTGATTTGTATGGTATGTGAATTATATCTTAATCAATTTGTCAGAAAAAAAACCTGCACAAAATAAATAAATAAATAAATAAAAATGCTCCTTTTATCTAAGCAATGAACAGATGCAACATTGTTACCATGGGAGAGAAAAAGAAGTCTCTCCTTTGTGTGTCCATTTGTTTCCAAAAATGGAAAGAAACTGAGAGCAAGAATTCTAAAGGTTCCAGTAGGTGAGCATGGACACACAGCATGTGCCCGATGTTTGTGGAACAAATCTTTTGCAGGTTGAATGGTGTCCCCCTCAAAAAAAAAAAAATAGTGTAGGAGTCCTAACCCATAGTACCTCAGAGTGTGACCTTACTTGAAGACAGGGTCTTGACATATGTAATGAACTTAGAATGTAGTCATGAGTCTGGGTGGCAATCCTATATGACTAATGTCCTTATTATAAAAAGGGGAGATTTAGACACAGAAATAGATGCATAGAGAAAACACAATATGATGAGACAGAGGAATAAGGCCACTGTGTACAAGCCAAGCAGAGAGGCCTGGAACCAGTCCTTTCCTCAAAAGGCGTTAACCCTGCTGACCCCCTGATCTTGGACTTCTGGCTTGAGGCAATACCTTCCTGTTGTTGAGACTACCCGGTCTGTGGTGCTTTGATATAGGAGCCTAGCACATTTGGGTCACAGTCCCTCCACTAACTGGATGATGAACTGCCTTCTCTGAGGTCCAGGGTCCTCAATGGGAAACCATGATTGGAGTAAAAACAGGGAATGTGTCTCACAGCGACAGCTCTAAAAAGACATAAATGAGTTGAGCCTATACTATTTGCCAGTTCCAACAGCTTGACCTGCCTTGCGTCATTTAACACCCCTGTTTTACACACGAGGAAACGAAGGCACAGAGGTTTACTGCTTATTGTTGATACATTTGCTGAACTCAGGTGCCTCCAAGTTCAGTTTACGCACTTCACCAGAAATACAACGTTCAGATTTTAAAGTCTCTGAAACGTTCTTATTTCTGCTTCTTGAGAGATCCTATCTTTATGCTTAAACATGCATATGCAATGACAACTAACACTAAATAGAAACGGGGGCGTGGGAAAGTATTCCTGAGAGTGGTCGAAAAAAAAGAATGCTTTGCAGGTTGCCTTCAGAAAGTTTGGGGGGAAAAAAGAAAACACGTAGCAATCCAAGACAGATGAGACATAAAGGCAAAAACGGCAAGGCATTTTAAAACGTCTTATTATTTCGGCCCTTTCCTATCAAACTTCGGCGGGGGGCTGCTCTGGGAGAATGGACCAGCCAGGGATGCTCGGGGGATACAGGCGCAAAGGATGCGGACTCGCGCGCCACTGCGCGTGCGCCCTACGAGGCACGCAGGGAGCCGGGCGGGCAAAACTGAAACGGAAACCTGCTAGGCGTCCAAGGACGGGCGCTGCGGGCCGGGACGAAGCCACCAGGGACCCCGTAACTAAGGCCGCCTAGCTACCCATTTACTTGGTGGCTCTCAAGGATGCCAACCTGAGCATCTATGCACTCTTTCCATCAACCCCATGCACCGTCGTTCCTCCACGCCCTCCTTCCTTCCTCATGCCCTTTCCAAATTCGAGCCAGGCATTGGCACCCAGATTAGGAACTCGGCTCTGCTCGGCCCTTTGACTCAGCATCCAAGCCCGTTTACGGGTATGAAGTGAGCGTGGGCGGGGGGGTGGCGGTGGTGGATGCGGGCAAACTTGTCGCGCCCGCGCGTGCCACTTCTTAGCCCCGCGGCGACGGCAGGGGTGACCGTCCTCGGCGCGCTTGCGCAGAACATGCCGGCGAGGCCCAGAGCGCGCGTGCGCGGGAGCGGCTCCAGTCGCTTATTCCAGGAGCCTCGGAAGGAGGCCAGCCGTAGGCGAGCGCCGGGCGGCGGAGGCTCAGGGCGCGCGATTTTTGAGGGACCAAGCTAGGACACTTGAGGCGCGCGTGCGCAGAGCAGCTCGGGGCTCACGGGGCTTGCCCGAACGCGCATGCGCGAGAGCGTCCCGGGGGGCGCGGGCGCGAGGAGGCCGGGGGCCGCGCGTGCGCAGCACAACTCGGGGTGCGCGGGGAGGCCCGGAGCGCGCGTGCGCGCGCCTCTTCCCCGCCCCCCACTCGGCCGAGACGGCGGCACAATGGCGGCGCCCTTGCCCCCGCTGCGTCCCGTCACCCACCTGCTTTTTGACCTGGACGGCCTCCTTCTGGGTGAGTAGCCTGCGGCCGCCTCCCGCGAGGGCTGTCTGGGAGGACGCGGGCGGGGGGCACAGGCTCTCAGGGGCGTGAGCCGCGGCGGGGCGGTGTGCGGGGTCCCCGGGCTGGCGGGCGGCGGGGGTGCGGGGCCCACGTCAGGCCGGCCGCGCTCGTGGCTGAGGCGTCGACGGCGCCCGGGGCACTTACTTCCGGCGGCCGCGCCGCGCGTGGGGACGGAGTGCGTGGGGGGCGGCGCGTGAGGGCGCAGTGCTAGGGGACCACCGCGCGGGCGGGAGGTTGGCGTCGGGCCTCGGGGGCCGCGGGCGCTGCGCGCGCAGCCGGGCCTCCATTTCCCTGTCTGCACCCCGGCCTCTAGGATCACTGCAGGCTTGCCCAGAGGTGCACGCACCTTGCTCGTGTTATCCTACAGGGCAGCGTCCTCTACCCGCCGATTTGGGGGCCTCTGCCGACGTCTGGAGGCGTTTGGGGCAGCCTAGCTGGAGGGTGGGAGTTTGCTGGCGTCCAGAGGGTAGCGGCTGGGATGCGGCGGAACCTCTCGCAGTGCACAGGACCGCTCCACGCCACCGCGACTGCTCCACACCCAAGTATCTGTAGCGCGGAGGCGGCGGAGGAGTCCTGCTCAGCGGTCTGGCTGGTCCGAGTGACTCCCAGCAGGGACATCACCGGGGAGCAGCAGTTTTGCAGTGTAGAGCCCGAGTCCCCACCCTACAGCTGCCCAATCAGAATCTACATTTTCACCCAAGTGCCGGGGAGTTAGAGGTGCACACCCGTGCTGTGGCTTTGAGCGGTTAACAATCTTGTGTGCGCCGAACAGCCCCGTAGTCGATGGTGGTAGGCGTGAACTTACCCACCGAGGCGAATTCAAGTAGAATTCGTAGAAAACGCTGCATTTAGAACTCAACAGAGAACTGCTCTGAGCTCTACCTTACAGCTTGGGCGTATGTTTCATGACACTACCCGGTGTTACAGGGTTAGGAAACGCGTTCTGACCTCATTGTCTCCGGAGGGCTTCATAGGACTTTAAAAATGTCTGCATGCTTTACGTAGGCTACTAACCTGGTGGAGATGTGCATACATCAGTACTGCCTCTCATAAAATCCTGCAAGGTGGGAGGAGATGTTTGCCCTGACTAATTAAAAACAAAATTGGCACCACTCAGAGAGGTAAAGTTACTTGCCCAAGGTCACACAGCTAATAAGGAACAGAGCTGAGAAATGATTCCAGATCGATCTAATTCTAAATATAAGTGATGTTGTGCTCATTTTACAGGGGAGTGTGACCTTGCCCCCATGATCATTTGGCTCACTGGTTCGGTAGTAATGGCACTGATTTTTTATTTTAAAGGTACACAAAAAACAGTCTTATTTTTATGGGCCCAGAGATATAAACGAATGAATTCCTAAGGGGTAAAATAAATTCCCATAGAGGTAACTAATTGGGTAGAACAGTGTATGCAGCTACTAAATCTGAAATGACTCAATTTCAAAAAGCATCTGGGATTCGTAAGTACAGTTTGTAGATGTGAGTTTTCCTGCTAAGATGGTCAAGTTAAATTGTCAAATAAATTCCTTATCCTCTAATGAAAAGTCCAGAGAACATGTTTTGGGAGTCTTATGAATTTTAATACAAACTGAGGTGTCCCATTAAAATTAAATTTATTAGACTTCTAAGTGAGCTTGATGCTTCATCCCCACTCAAGATACACATATACCTGTTCCCCGGAGCCATGAATGTGACTTATGTGGTGGTGCTTGCAGGGGTAGTTATCAACCAGGGTCTCCTCTTTGCTAGTTAAGGCAAGTTTAAAGTTTATCAAGCATTGGTCTGGCACTGTTACCCAATCCTCTGAACTGGTCAGAGAAACAAGAATTAGTGGCCTTTGGGAGGATAAGACCTAGCTCCTCTTTCCCTCTTCGTTTTCTGCCCTTTACCTCATTCCGCCCTGACTCTTTGAGGCGGTAAGGCCTTGCAGAACTTTATCAGAAATGCACCTTTGCTTATTCTTTTTTTTTTTTTTTTACAAAATGTCTGGTATAAAACACCACTTTCCAGAATGTGCTACTTTACCTCATTTAATCTACTTGATTATACCTGTTGTAATTCTTAAGCGCCTGACTTCAGTTGTCTGTTGTTTGCATAACAACGTATCATCAGTTTATTATGAGGTGTTTTTCGGTGGGCCTGCTTTTCAGAATTGTGAATCCATTTCCCCAGGAAGTTCTGTTTGTTAATGTAGCTGCAATCCTTGTATTCTCAGGGAAGTGAAACTGAAAACAAAGACTTGCATGGGGAAGCTTGTTTAACCAGAGGAGAATGAGGAAGTCAATGGAGATATTTGCAGAAATGTTGACCAGAAACCCAGGGTTACTTTCTAGTGCTTTTGAAATGTTTGATGCTGTTTTCCTTTCAATCTTTGGAATCTGTTTTTGTTGACAGAGGTAACAATTAGCTGTGAGCTAGATAGTAATTTTGGCCCTCAAATGCCATTTAGAGACACAGACCAAGGGGACTGAGATTATTTATGAACAAGGATAAGATGTTGAAGGAAGTAGATACAAGTTTGAAATACTATGTCAGCTCCTGAATAGGGAAGATTATCTAGTTCATTAAATAGCTGAAGTTAGGAGTACAAGAGGTAGGACCATTCTCTTTAAGAGACAAGAAAGTTGGTGGTCCAGAGTCCTGCTATCTGATAGGAGTAGCACCATGTAAGATTTTGTTATAGCAACATTAAAGAAGCAAAAAGACACAGAGGAAATTAACTTGAATGGTACTTTTTTCCTATCCTGACACATCCAAAATATTGTTACTCAACACATGATCAGTAAAAAAAAAATAGTTGAGATAGTTTACATTCCTTTTTGTTACCTAGCCTTTGAAATTTGTGTGTATCTTACACTCACAGGGCATCTCAGCTTAAACTAGCCAGGTTTCATGGGTTCACTTGCCACGTTTGGCCAGTGCCTACCGTATGGGACAACCCAGGTACAGAGCCTTAGGAAGCAACTCACTGATGTTTGCTGTTGATAACGGGGCCAGATGGAGGGTGGATGTTAAGAATATTCAGAATTAGGAATATGTAAAATGTGGTATACATAAAATATGCTTTCTAGGAGTCTGTTACAGTAATTAAATCCTTAAAGAATCAGCCAGGAAAAATAAAAAGCTTATTTTCAAATGTTTAAAAAATAAGCAGAAAAATAATACAATAGATCTGTGAGGGGAAATACGACTCTTTGCAGTGTCGATTATAATTGACCACGTCTCCATAAACACACAGAGGTGGCAGGATTTTAATGGGTGACACCTGGCTTCTACTTCGCCTTCACGTAGAGGAATAGATCCCCTGTCTTGTACCTGTTTGTACTCCTACAGCTTCCTGCTTGCCAAATAGTAATCATAGCACTTGAGACCGTATGGAAGTGCCCGTTTCTCCGTCCGGGGCCCAGGGTACAGCGTGAACGCTGGGTGGAGGCGGGACCTTTGTGCTGCTCCTGGGGCTCAGGGATCCATTGTTGACCGAAGCAGCTCGCAGCCCTGCCCAGTCTGCTCGGAATCCGCTGTCACCCGTCGTCCTCTGGCTCACCTCACCTACGCTGGTTTCTGTAGACGCTGGGACCTCCACAAAGCTGATGACAAACACAGGATCTCCCTGTACAGCTGTAGCACACGCCCTAGATGAATTTTCGGAAGAGCTTTCGTACATTGTATTTGACCCTGTGTAACACGTATGAGGTTTAAAAGTGGAGATGATGAGCTTTTCGGCGTCCATTGGTTCCTATCCTGTAATGTGACTCAGTCCAGACCTTCCCAAAGAGTCTCAGGAAGGTAGAGCAGAATAAACGCTCGTTCGGGATGGCCGGTGTGAGGTTACTGTCTGCCCTTGGGGCTCCCAGAGACACCCTCACCCCGTCCCTGGCTTGTTGTGTGCCTTGCGGTCTCATCACGCATGTCAGGGGGCCTGTGCTACGGCACGTTCCCCTTCTCTCTGCCCTGCCCCCAACCCCCGGAGCTAAGGGCACACGCTTGCGTTTGATGTCACCTTACCAGGTGACATTTAGGTCCCTTCTACATTTGCACAGGAGGTGGCGGAAATTCGGAGGCCAGTCTGAGGCCTTGCAGCCCAGCAGAGCCCACACAGAAAGGGGCCCTGACTTGTACTTTCTCAGTTTGGAGTAAGACGCTGGTAGGGGCAGGTGAAGGTACCCATGGACTATGTTGAATGTCAGGAAATTCATCAGGAATAAGAAAGCACTCGAGGGGGGACCGAGGTGGGTAAACTCAGGTCCCGTTGGCCGTGCTTCCTAATAGACCTGAGCCGCGTCAGCCTTTCCCGTGTTCCTGCGGTTAGCGGTTCTTATGCACCACAGCTGCTCCCGTTTCTAGATTAACAGGAAGGTGAGATCAAAATTGCAAAATTCTGCAGGTCGACGGGAGTTTGGTCCAGCTGGTAACACCACTAAGATATTCAGCAGGTTTCTGTCAGTGCAGGTGTAGAGTGCCCGTTCCTTGCTTCCTCCTAGCTTCCTCGTCCCCCTCATTGTGTGCTTTTATTTAGAATCTTAGCTGTGCAAACTTTTTTTTTTCCTCTCTCGAACTATTTTTCCTTTCTTCTCCTTGGAAAGCTGTGTGGGGGGGATTCTTTGTTCACTTTTGTCTTTCTGATTATTCTTTGCTTTCTCTGATTCTGTTCTTTTATTTTTTCTTTCATTTTTTAAGCTACTATAATTTATCCATTACACTGTGTTATTTTTCGGGGTAGACGGAGATTTAATGCAATGTAAAAGAGCAAGGGAGATGATGCCCCCAAGAAACGTCCACCAAAAGCACTCATTACACCGGTGCCCAGGTGACTTTTGACAGCTTTGTTTGAGATGTTTGAAAAGTGATGGATACATAGCCTGTAGCTGGAAGGTGCAGTAGTGTTATAGCAGAATGGCTTACATTAGAAGATAAAGCTCTCACTGTCAGGTATATGTGAATACTGGTGACTC